AACTCAGCAGGCCATGAGTATAGAATCTTCTTGCACGTAGGTTCGTCCTTCATCTCAAGCAGTTCAAGCTTATCGCTACCTCCTACCCTCGCAAGAGAGTCCATCATATCCTGCACTGAGACGCCGATGCCGGGGAAGTTGAGGCAGCGATCGAACTTGGCGAGGCGATTGATGTCGAAGTCCGTAGCGGCGTAGATGAGATTTTGGACTAATATTCGGGGAGAGCATAGCCAATGTCGCCATTGCTTGTCCTCTAGTGGAATGACACACTTGATGCCGTTCATCGGTTCGCGGATCATACCGCTGATGAACGAACTCGCTGCGGCGGTGGGCTTTCCAGGCCGCACCGAGACCGTAGGGAAGCGAAGTGAGATGCCGTCGATAAAGCCGCGTCGTGTGTACTCAGTGATGAGGTACTCGCACATCATCTTCTCCGCGCCGTAGCTTGTCTCTGGTGTCGGCATCTGAGATTCCGTGACTGGTAATGTGACGGAGTTGTTATATACTGCTTGACTTGATGCGTATATTACTCTCGCTCCTGGACATGTCTTCCGGATAGATTCGAGTAGTGCGCGAGTTGCGTCGAAGTTTGCTTTCATGCCTAGCTCGAAATCGGCTTCTGCGCCTGAGGACATGATGCCGTGGAAGACATAGACGGCTTCTATGTCTTTAGTGACGACAGTATCTGATTCTGTACACAAGTCTGCCTTGATGGCTTGTGCTCGTGTTGATGATCGCGCATCTGATGGGATGGGTGGTTCGATGATGTCGGTGAGGATGAGTGAATGTGCTGCCTTCTCGTCGTCGAGCAGTTTCTTCGCTACGAGTTGGCCGATGAAGCCGGCGGCTCCTGTGATAAGAATGCGCATTGTGTTTTTGATGAACTGGGGTATTGTGAGATGGCATGCGGCTCTGCCAAACAAACTTTACTCATATACGAATCGCGCTCTGCAACCATCGGAGCGGTGCTTCGGCCGACTGTACGCCCTTGTGACGCAGGCATATTGCTCGCGACACCTTCTCCACACGGCTCACTGTATCCGTAATCATTGGGTGCTTGCCAGTGTTAGTGGTGTCGGCCGCGGTTGCGGTTGTTAGATGCTCGTCGCTGCCAGCGAGCTATCGGAGTTTCGCCGGGCCCACTTCTCCGCAGTCACGTCGGCAGATCGACTAGCGAGGTGGCTGCCGCGCCAATTGACAGCCTCGCGAACATTACAATCGTGTTGGACTTACTTCCAACTTTAGCACTGTCCAAGCATTGCGATCCGTCGTATCACAAGACGGTTGACAATATGGCAGACAGATCTGTTTCAGTAGAAGAGATCAAGAAGCATGCCAGTGAACAAGACTGTTGGATAGTGGTAGATGACGTGGTATGGGACATAACAGAGTTCATACCGAGTCATCCTGGTGGAAATGAGAGTGAGTGATACCTGTCATCTAGCAGAAAACATCCAAGAAGGTGTCATCTTTTTGGTCAAGGCAGGAGAAGTCAAATTTCTTGCTATCGCACGGGGACTTGCTGAGTCAATATCGTCTTCTACTGGACAACATCATTACAAAGAGCCCACTACTAACATCCTCTAGTAATAACCAAACACGCCGGCCTCGACGCCTCCCTAACCTACAACTCTGTCCACTCACCCACTTTGATATCCAAGACTCTCGCTCCAGGCAAACGCATCGGCAAAGTCTCGTCCTCAACACCCTCCTACGACCTCCTAAAACCACCTCCAACAGAATCCGCCCAACCCGCCCTATCAATTGCCTCAAAGCCGCCGCTCAGTAGTTTGATCAACAGCTACGACTTCGAAGCCGTCGCCGAAAAAGTCCTCGGCAAGAAAGCATGGGCCTTTTACTCCAGCGGCGCGACAAATCTCGTGACGCGTGATGCAAACAAGAGCATGTTTGATCGTATTTGGTTTCGACCGAGACTACTGAGGAATATCCGGCATGTTGATACGAGAACGAAGATGTTGGGGCAGAGTGTGGAGTTGCCGTTTTTTGTTAGTCCGGCGGCAATGGCGCGATTAGCGCATCCGGAGGGAGAAAGGGCATTGGCGAGGGGATGTGAGGGGAGGGGGGTTGCGCAGTGTGTATGTTGATATCTGCGTTTGCTGTGCGAGCTTAAAGACGGGAGTATGAGAAGGATGATGTGCTAACGCGAGCTGCCAGATCTCAACAAATGCGTCATTTATCATGCAAGAAATCACAGGAAGCGTGAAAAAGGATTCCATACCCTTCTTCTTCCAGCTCTACGTCAACAAGGACCGCAAAGCATCTGAAGCTCTTCTCAAAGATGCAGAGAAGAATGGGATTAAGGGCGTGTGGTTTACCATTGATGGGCCTGTGCAGGGGAAACGAGGTATGTCTCATCCCACCCTACCAAGCCCTCCTCTCTGCATCTCCAGCACCCGGAGACTAATGTTAGCTCCATACTACAGAGGGCGACGAGCGCGTAAAAGTCGAATCAGCAACCTTCGCCAAAGCCGCCATCAGCGGCGCCGCAGCCACAAACGACAAGAAAGGCGGTGGCCTCGGTCGCACCATGGGCGGCTACATAGACGATACATTCAACTGGGATGACATCGCGTGGCTGCGCAAAGCGACTAAACTACCCATCGTAGCAAAAGGCGTTCAGACAGTTGAAGACGCGGTGCTAGCTGTGAAATACGGGCTGGATGGTATAGTGATAACGAACCACGGAGGGAGGAATTTGGATACGTATGTCCACCCAGCCTTCCCCAACCACATACATAAACGAGAAGAGTGGTTTGCTAACAAAGCATAACAGATCCCCACCCACCCTCCTAACCCTCCTCGAAATCCGACGCCACGCCCCCGAAGTCTTCTCGAGCCTAGAAGTCTACCTCGACTGCGGTATCCGGCGCGGAACCGACATAGTAAAGGCACTGTGTCTAGGCGCTAAAGCTGTGGGAATGGGTCGACCGTTTTTGTATTCACTGACGTATGGACAAGAAGGTGTGGAGCACTTTATCGACATTATGAAAGATGAGTTGGAAACGACGATGAGGTTGTTGGGGATAACGTCGTTGGAGCAGTGCCATCCGCGGTATCTCAATCTAGGGGATGTGGAACATTTGATTGCGAGGGATTTGGAGGGCGGGTTGCCGGAGATACCAGAGAAGGGAGTGAGGGCGAGGTTGTAAAGTATGTGTGTATTGGGAGAACGGAGTACCGGTTTTATCTTTGACTTATTCAAAATCGCCTGACTCAAGTGCCCTTTTGTCAGCTCTCTCCTCTTGCAACTTCCTCTCCCTCCTAAACTTCTGATCCAACCCCGCAGCCTTCAGCACCGCAAACCTTATGTGATCAACACCCAACCTCTTCCCTTCTACCAGCGTCTCAGCGCTCACACCTAGAATCTCTCCGAGCGCACCGCCTCCGACCGGCGGCTGGATGTCGTACTTCAACTTCTCCATCGCCTTTCTGAGTTCCTCGGGGCTACCTTTTGGAGATAAGCGACGCAGCACTTTTCCGTCGTGGCGTTTGATCTCTTTGGCAGCGGGAATGTATAGTTTGTCTAGCTTGGACAGGATAACTTGGTGACTTACACCAGCTAAACGCAGTGATGCGAGCAGGGAGCGGTCTTTATCTTTGATACCGTGTTCGGCGTCGATCAAGAGGAAGACACGGCGGAGTTGCTTGCGGTTGGTGATGTACTTCATGATTTCCGTACCCCAGGATGCGAGTGAACCTTCGCCGTAGCCGGGCATGTCAACAATGGTAAGGCCACCGAGACCGACGATCTTTTCACGATCTTGGCCTTGTTTCTTGATAGTTACGCCGTTGCCGGCACCTAGACCGTAGAGGTTCATTGTTTTGGTAAAACCCGGGGTAGATGAGGTACGCGCTAGTAATGCTTTGATATCTGCGTTCACGACGGCGTTGAGCAGCGAGCTCTTGCCGACGTTGGAACGACCGACAAAAGCTACCTCCGGTACGTCAGACTCGGGGAAGAGACGGAATTGAGCTATACTCCGTAGTAACTTTGCGTTGCGGCCGTGGGTAGTGAAAAAGTGGTTTGCAGTCGTCTTCTGTGCGACGGTAGGGGGAAACGTATCCCAGTACCAATTGAAGTCTTGTAATCTGTTAAGATTGAGCGACAGCGAACTGATCGGTGTTTCAGGCGCTGAATCTAGTGTTGTCTCGGATTTTGGTCGTCTGCCCAAGGGCGCTGATGGCGGAGAGGGTACTAGCTCGTCTCCGAACGATTTCTTGCGACCAGCGGGGAAATTTGTCTCCCATTTGCGAATGACAACGCTCTTTGGCTTTTTGATAAGAGGTTTATGTGGTGCGTTCATTTGCGCTAGTTCCATGTCTTTCCCTTCTTCTTTTAATTGTTCCATCTCCAACTCTCTCTTGTGTCTTCGGCTCTCACGCATTGCTCGCATTTGTGCGGTGGTCATGGGCGCATCTCTGTTTTGTTGCCGTCTCTCTCGCATCGTAAGAGGTCGTGGTTCATTCGCTACTCGTTCAAGATCCTCCGCAGATGGTTTTTGCTCGTCCGTCAATTCTACCCGCAGATTATTCTCCGTCTTGCTCATATGCAGTATACTGCGTGTTGGCGCAGTCGGCCTGAACTTTGCGATGGCATCGCCATTCCAGTGCTTCCGTATCCGTAACCTCGCGTTGGGCGCATCATCTTGAGATGCATCGGTGGACTGTAGGCGTACTTGCGATCGCGTGACGGTTTTAGACTGTGGGCGCGACAGCCGTTTTATGCAACTGCGGCATACGTATCGTGAACTTGGCGGTAAGTTGTTCATTGCGTTCGTGCAAAAAGACGGAGAAACAGTGGTGGTGGATGTGAAGTTCACGACTGGTCCAAGCTCTGCCGCATCTTTTCGCCGCAGCACTTCCGTATGGTGAACTTCTCCAACATCACCACATCGGCAAACCACCACATCCTGAAGACCACGATCCCTCTCCGATACATCTAATCTCCCAAACCAAACCAACTACCTCCACCGCCCACAATGGTACCACCCGCCAGCCCCCAAATCCTCTCCATCTACCGGCGCCTCCTCCGCGAACTCCCCTCCACCCCCCAATTAACCCGCACCCAACACCAAAAGCTCTCCGCACCTTCAAAACTGCAACAGCGCATCCGCTCGACACTCTCGCAATCGAACCCCAATGCCAACGCGACAAGTCAATTACATCAGGCGGAGCAATTCATACAATATGTGCAGGCGCAACGGATGCATTCGACATTGCTGGAGCGGTATAATCCGGGTATGGGTATGACGGAGGAGGAGAGGGTTAGGCTGAGCGCGAGGAGGGTGGGCATGAATTTGCCGGTGGAGTTTGAGGAGGAGGGTGGGGAGAAGGCTTGAGGATGAGGGACGGGGGTCGACTGGAACCTGATCCGAGTGTGAGAGGTGCCGTGTCAGACATTGTAGGGCATGGAGGCTGGAAGGATGACGCGCTGCTGAAGTCTATAAGCGATGAGGGGTACAATACGGAACCACTGGCATCGCGACACGAAACCGGAGTCTTCTCGGACGAAATGAAGAACACTGAGACGGACTGGCACATGGAGAGGGAACTAGAATTGTGCATATGCAATGTACGATTAGAATTGTACAAATCTATAAACTCAAACTCTTAACACAGTAATCCGACCCTCAGTCGACCAAAGTCTCGTACTAGTGTCGCCAATTAAGGGTATGCTGCTTTTGGTATACATAACTCCGTGTTCGCCATACTCTTACACGCCAAGGCGCATATCCTCTTTCTACTCGTGAAAATGCTGTGCGAATCGTCTCCCATCTATATCCGGTTATGACGCTCAGTCCTCAAACTTGAAGCCCTTGCCGCCAGAGGTGTCAATCATGCCACCCCTGTACGAGCCCCTCTTTCCCTTGTTCTTCTCCTTGGTGAAGCCCTTGCCCTTGGTGACGATCAACTTGGCGTGCGCGCGGTCGGCGTAATCGTAGGAAACGTAGGCGTTGCTTGCGAGGTTGGGGTCGACTACGACGTCGGGCTTGATGCGCTGGAATCGGTTCTCGACGTGGCTTCGCTTTGACTTGGGAGCGTCTTGTGAAGGAGAGCCGGCCTTGCGCTTGTTGTTCTTTGGCTCGGGGGATGTTGCTGGCAGAGTTTGAGACGAGTCGCTGCCAGAGGCCTTGCGCTCGAGCGCGGCGGGTTTCTTCTCGTCGTCGCTGTCGGAGTCGGAGGAGCTGTCTGAAGAGCTGTCCGAAGAACTGTCGGAGGAGCTAGAATCGCTCGAGGACGAGGGTGTGGCAGCCTTCTTTCCGCTCTTCTTGGCCTTCTTCGTCTTGGCTGGCTCTTCGTCAGAGTCGCTGTCGGAGGAGCTAGAGTCGCTGGAGTCGCTGGAGTCTGAAGAGTCCGAGTCGCTTGAAGCAGACGATGATGAGACTGAAGCGGCCTTCTTGCTCTTCTTTGCCTTCTTGCCCTTCTTCTCGGCTTCTGAGTCGGAGCTGCTGTCGCTCGAGGAATCGCTGTCTGAGTCGCTAGACGAAGAGTCGCTGGATGCATCGGACGAATCGGAGTCAGGAAGCGGGACGTTGGCGGGCTCTTCTTCAGAGCTGCTATCGGAGTCGCTCGAGTCGCTGGAAGAGGAAGCAGAGGATGAAGACACGGATTTGGCTTTCTTCGCTTTGGGTTTCGCCGGCGCGCTTTCCTTCTCAGATTCGGAATCGGAATCTGAGCTGGAGCTGGAAGAGTCGGAGCTAGAGTCGGAGGAACTCGATGAGCTGGAAGCATCGTCCTTCGCAGCTGCCTTCTTTCCAGCAGTCTTCTTGGCCTTCTTTGGCTTTGCCTCGGCCTCAGACTCGCTGCTTGAGTCGCTGCTGGACGCGCTTTCCTCAGAATCGCTAGCCTCAGAATCGTTGTCGCTCATGGGCGACGCACACCATCGGTCAAACTCCTCGTCAATTTTGGTGACAGCATCCTTCTCGCCCTTCTTCTTGAGGAACTTCTTTATCAGCTCAAGCTGCGGAATTTCTGTCGATGCAGCCTTCTGCTTCTTGTCGCCGCTGGACTTCTTAGAAGCCTTCCCGGTAGCCATTGCGCGGTACGTGTCGTGTTTCGTGGATTGCGGCGGTGGAGTGGTGGTGCTGGCGTGAAGGTAGCAGACGTCGCGCAAGAAAAAAAGTACGGTAGGCGGAATGGTTCAGCGCCCGGCTGCGCTAAGCCCAAAACGTGATCCCTGTCCCGCGCGCCTGCCGTCTCATATGGAGTACACGACGCCAGACGTCCCTCTCCGCACACCACCCCATTGCCTCTTTCACCCGCCGCCCACATTCTTCCCTCGAACGGCGCACTTGGCAGCACTTGTTCCGGGACTACCGCATTGAGCACCCCGATTGCTCCTCACCGCCGCTCTACCCGTCGACGTCGCATCGCCCGGCCATCGCAAGACTCATTACCACCTTTCGCGATTCATGGCAGCTCCCGGAGGACCTCTCGCTAGCGCCCGGCGGCAGTAATTGGCGCATCATTCACCCACACCTCCAACTACCCCATCGGCCTTGCGGATAGCCGAACAGCAGAATGGAGGGGAGGCCACGCAACTACACCAACGGAGCGGGGGACCCTCGAGCTCCTGCAGGCCGCCCACCTGGCAGCTCGAGGGGGGCGCCTTCTGCCTCCAGCTCGACGCCCTCTGGCATGTCGCGCGCAGAGCGATTCGACGACGAGCGAAAGAGAATCACCGAAAGCTGCTTCTCCAAGACGGATGACCAGGGCCAGCGTACGTGTCTACATCAGTGCCCGCGCATGTTGGGATATATGCTTGGCATACACCTCTACGCGCTATAGCATCGACTGACAAACCCAAGTCCAGGAGTCTTATATTACCCACATCCGCGTCCAAGAAGATGGCGGCTACCCGCAGTCCCCCCCACCACCGAGCTCGGCCCCGTCGAACAAGAAGGCGCGCATCATCATGATATCAGTGCGAAACACAGGCAGGGTGAAGCTGCACAAAGCCAGGGAGAACGCCAACGGCTCCTTCTCCATTGGAAAATCTTGGCCTATGGAGGAGCTTACTGCTGTCGAGAACTACACCCATCTCAATCCTACCAGCGAAGAGGAGGCACAGCGGAAGCTATGGGCTGGGGAGAAAGGCTTCACTGTGACCATAGGCAAACCTTACTACTGGGAAGCGGGCACGGCAAAGGAGAAGGAGTTCTTTATTGGAAGTATGGTTAAGATCTACAACAAGTACACTAAAGGAGACTTTCCTATCCTGACAGGGTTCAGCGTGACAGAGCTGAACAGTCTGACCAACGGACAGCCGCATCTCGCGACACCAGAAGGCCGAGCTGCCGCAGCCAGTGGTCAGGGTGGTCAAAGTCCCTCCCAGAAGCGACCCGGGCCACCAGATCAAAGACCAATGCCTCCAAAGTCACCTGGACCACCACCGAGAAGACCTGGCGAATCTCCGCCTATATCGGACGGGAGAGCCCTTCCACCTGGCCCAAATCCAAACTTCCGGAGACCTCCTGGAGAGCTAGGGGGGCCACCTAGAAGACCAGGACGGCCAGACGACTTGGGTAGACCGAGTACTGGGGATGACGCCCGTAGGCCTCCGCCATTCATGCCGAATTCAGTTTCGGTCGCGCCATCTATGCCCGACCTTCGCCAAAAGCGGTCAATGGACCCAAGCATTCGCTCTCGGCCTAGCGGCGATAGTATGCGACCTCGTCCTGGCCAGGGACAAAGCCCTATCCCACCACAGTTTGCGTCTCGCAATTTGACCCCACAATCTTCGAATTCTGAATTCGCTGGTCGGCCACGGACACCGGATTCAGGCAACTTCCCAGCAAGCTTGAGTCCAGGGCGCGGGCCGCCACGTGAAGATGCGCAATCGCAACGGTCGGAAAGATCCATTGACGAACCATCATTGGACGGCGCGCCTCCAGGTATTGCGCCACCAGATCCACGCAGACAGAACGGGTACCCCTCGCCTAGGAGAGATCCGTCGCCCAGGGGTCTCAGGCCTGGAACAGCCCAAAGCGCTGGTCGACCAGGTACAGCTCAAAGCAACACCAGTTCAAACTTCACACGAAACGACGACATGCCCCCAGAAGAACCGCCCCAAAGGAGAAGGCCACTCATGGAGCCCCGGCCGTCACAGATGTCACAACGAAGTGTCGATAGCCAAGGCGCAGAGCCACGCTCAACATTCCATACGCCTTCAGGCTCGCCTGCTCCACCACTGGAAGTACCGCCGCGGAGACGACCTCAGGAGATACCCGAGAGACTGAAGCCCGTTTCTCAGGAAAACATCGCGCCTCCCGCAGACCCACTGCCTTCTCGACCACCACAGCCTACGCCTCCTCCCACATCACCCCTTCCACAAATTCCGACTGCGCCAATACCAGCAGCACCACAAGCTGAGGAAGTAGCGGCGCCTGCAACACCACCAACAGCACCTGAGCCAGAACCGCTAGAACGCACCAATTCAATGCCTGAGGATCAAGAACGCCCTGGTCTTGGGCCAATGGTCAAGAAGCCGCTGCTTAACGATAATGCGGCGACCAAGTTCCGCAAGGCAGCAGCGGCGGCAGGCGCATTCAAGCCTCGTGCTGGCGGAGCTGCTGCAAAGCTCTTCAACAAGGAGACGAAAACAACCGATGAAGCAGACGGCGTCAGCGCAGTGTTTGTGCCCCAGCGACCAACACCAAAAGAAACGCCAAAAGAAACTCCTCAAGAAGAAGTCGAGCAGAAACTCGAAGAGCCCTCCAAATCCATACCAGACAGGTCATCTAAAGAGCGACTGCGCGTTAGTACCGAGGTGGTTCCGTCTGTTACAGTCTCCGGCCCAGGTGATCGCACTGCGGCTGGCGCTGTCCAAGAAGTTGAAGAACAGCCTGCTCCGCCACCTCCAGAAAAAGCAGCCTCAAGGAACATTGAGCCTGAGCCCGAGGTGCGCCGAAAGAAGCGCCGGTCCAACCAACAGATTGTCAACATATCCAAGCTTGGTATAGATCCGAATATCATTGACGAACGGGGATTGGAATTTGAGAGTCTGCTGACTGAGCTGGGATGGGGAAACAACGAGCTGTCCGCCAAGCACATCGAGTCTCTGGAGAATGACATCAAACGCGAAATCGCCCGCGTGGAGGCAGGGAGCTGGCTAAATCACCTGGAGCAGAAGGACGATCGCGTAGAGGCTGTCGAGCGCATGTTGGACCGCGCGATCGCTGAGTGCGACGAGCTTGAGGGGCTCTTAACCCTATACAACGTTGAGTTGAGCAGCTTGAACGATGATATCGCTTTCATCGAAGCACAGAGTCAGGGTCTGCAAGTGCAGACTGCGAACCAGCGGCTACTGCAGCACGAACTTCAACAGCTAGTCGACACT